CGTTCTCTAGAATCCGCACTAGATCCTATCCAACCAAAGCAAAACTATTCCGATTTGGACTCACTCCAGACAACAAATGCAACTGCGGTATTGATCACACTATTCTAGAATGCCCGCTCTTCGATCAACAGCGCACCACCTTAAAAACACAGCTAGGACTTGGGGCCTTGTCGTTTTCATACCTTATGGATACAAAAGACAAACGCAAGCTACACTACTTTATGCATTACCTAAAATCTATCCGCATACTATAATCATCCACTTATCTCCGCCACCCTGGACATAAGCGAGCTATAAGCTGAAAACTGCATAAAGCTCCAAAACAGAACGCCAACAATCATCATCATCATCATTTATAGGGTAACTTATTTAAAAGTCATAGCCTGCACACCATATGGATAGAAGGTCGTTTATGGACTTTATTCTTCATTCATACATCCTTACATAATTTTATAGAATAATAAAAAAATAGATAAATAAATAAAAAAAAAATTCATTTTTATCTCATCATTCATAGGGTAACTTATTTAAAAGTTAGAGCCTGCACATCATACGGACAGAAAGCCGTTTATAGACTTTATCCTTCATTCATACATCCTTACTTAATTTTATAGAGTACACATTTCTATCATTCATAGGGTGACTTATTTAAAAGTCAGAGCATGCATATCATATGGATAGAAAGCCGTTTATAGACTTTATCCTTCATTCATACTATCTTACATAATGTTAAAGAATACACATTCTCAAAATCATAGGGTGACTTATTTAAAAGTCAGAGCCTGCACAGCACTGCATTTATTAAGGTGGTTCTTTATGAACCTAAGCCCATTCCATTTATACAAAAATAATGATAATAATAAAATTAAAAAAAAAATTATAAATAAATAAATAAATTAAATATTAAACTGTTTATTATACTGGATAATTAAAATAATCGAATTAATATTAAGAGGCTACAAATTATTAAGAAGTAACTTAAAAGTTTTTTTAACCAATCCAGTATAAAAGGTCATACATCCAAACTGTTCCGTTCAGTGGCTTTAGAAACAGTTTAATATACCNTTCATTATAAAATGAGTCTCAGTCGTGCTGTTACGCTTTAAGATTTTATACTATAGCACATTTCTAATAGGTTTAACGAAATACATGTCATTTATTTGAATTCAAATTTATTTTAATGACTTAGTATTTACTAAAAAGATGTAATTTTTTTTAAAAAGAAAGTTGTTATATGGATTTGAATGATTGTTTTGAATTCTTAGAATTTTGTGCATTTGCAATGTACCTAAGTTAGTAGCGAGCAAAGCAAACCATATAAGATTGCGTAGCAATTTTCGGGGGGTAGACGAGTGTTAGGGAGCAGGGGGCGCAGCCCGACAGTTTATTTTAATAATCTACATAAACGTCAGAAAACTTGATAAGCATACTTAGAAACAATTAAGAGAAAGTTAAAAAAAATTATGAGTTTCGAAGCTAACAGGTATCTTCCAAAACAACATAAGAATTCGCGGTAAATTATTGAAATGACCCCAACGGCGATTCGAGTGTTAATGTATTGACATTAAGTCACCGGAAGTTACGCAAATAATAAATAAAAATTAGAATTATTTTTTTAGTTTTCTGTGTTCATATGTGCCTTCTTTCGGGCATGGTTTCTTAGTGTTAATTAATATTGACTTATTGCTCATATACTTTTCTCACCCCGTATGAAGAACGGGTATTCAGCTAATTTTAAACAGAGGTCATTTATTTAATTTTTGACTTTATAATTGCAATTTAGATGGTGCATTTAGAAAAACCGATTTTGTTATTGAAATCACAGTAGTGTTTCTCTCTTGACTTTAGATTCAGTTTACGATCAATACTAGATTCCATCTAGCGCTAGGGTTCGAGCTTAAAAAGGTCTGAATATTCGGTCGAAGTCTGTCTGTTTTAAATTGATGATCGGCAACGTCAGTAGAACTTGTTAGGGCGAAAGACCTGTCTATTTCAACCTGTATAACTGTAAGAAACTGAGATTTCACAAACTTTTTAGCAATATTTTTTCAACTCAGAACGGGACTGAATGTTAAGTTAAGTCTCAGTTTTTTAAATTCCTGTACTCCTCTTTTTAACTCCAGATTCACTTTACAAACAACAGTAGATCCTATCTCAGGCTATTAGTGTTCGAGGTTATACTGACGTTTCTTATTTCAGTGGTTGTTTTGATTGGGATCTACATAGTTTATATTTCACCAAGTAGTCTAGTCGTGCGGTGGTTGGCCAAGCGGTAGAGCTGTCACCTTAAATGTCAAGTAAGAAATTACACGTTTAGAACAGAACACGTTTCCAGAATTTTAAGTTAAGTCTCAGTTTTTAAATACCCTGTGCTGCCTTTTCTAACTTCAGATTCAATTTGCAAACAACAGTAGATGCTATCTCGAACTATTAGTGTTCGAGGTTTTTTACGTTCCGTCGATCGACCAACTCAAAAGCGCTGCTTTACTGACGTTTCTTATTTCAGTGGTTGTTAGGATCTATATTCTTTACATTTTTTCAAGTAGTCGTGTGATGGCTCGCCAGGGGGTAGAGCTGTCGACTTAAAATGTCAAGTAAGAAATTACACGTTCATGTCCATTTCATGTAGCCATGTCATGTCCATCCATAGGTATTCTTTGAAAGTTTACACTACGACACGAAAAAAGTAAGATTTGTGTCCCTGGAGTGCTCTTTTGTTTCGACCAACGACTATATGATGAAATCTGTTGATCCCTGGTTAAGCTTAAGTGTTTTTTGCAGTTCTACAAAACTTATGACTTTTGGCTGTTCTACTAACTCATACTATTCATAGAAGATCTTATAACTATTATTTAATGAAACTAATAAAACATACTTTTGTTTATTGGATTCGTACCTCTTAGTCATGTGCGTTGCAGAATGTAAAAATCTGCTCTGGAACTAAGTCAGCCAGTTTTATATTAATGATCGGCAACGTCAATGAAACTTGCTGGGTGTGAGACTTGTGTTATTTTCAACCCATATAACTTGATGAATCTGTGTTCGATGAACCTCTTAGCAATATTTTTAAAGCGATTTCTGCATCTTAGCTTAAGACACATTTCGAGAATTTTAAGTTAAGCCTCAGTTTTTTTAAATCAAAAAAAAAAGTTTCCTTTTTAACTATAAATTCATTTCACATTTAGCAGATCCCATCTTGAGTCTATCGGGCGAAAGTGACCGATTATTCATTAAGTGACCTATCCAAATGTGCATTAGAAATAAAAAAAAATTCAAAAATAATATTTTCTGTGAAAAGTAGCCTTTGAATTTCGTGTAAAAACACCAAAATTGTCACTTAATACATTAGAAACAATCGAAAAACTTTAAAAATTAAATTTCTTTTTCAAATAAGTGCAAACAATTTTACAATAATAATGCTTTAGAAAATTCTTATCTTTTCTGCTTTTTTTCAAAGCTAAATTTCTTTCTGTAAACAGCGTTTCAATTGTTCGTTGATGCAGTTTCGCACCACGCGGCCAAAGTATAAGTGGCAATGAAGTTTGTTAGTAGAAGCAGACTTCGAGTATGTTTATATCTCATGAAACTGACTTTTTTTTCTCAGGAAGCTTTACCAAATTTATAATCAAAATCCTAATTTATGACAAATTTGTCAGAATACTGCAATTTATGTTAGTTAAACCGATCTTGGTAGGGATAGTTGAAGATCCCTGAGTGCAACCACTACTTTTATACGTGGTGAGTTCTGAATTGCTAGGATTGAGTCGCTGGCCAAGTAAGCAAAGACTTGCAGTTGTACCGAATTTGCGTTCCATTGCAACTTCCAGGGGAGACATCGCTCTTCCCTGAAGGATATTTAACTTTCGTTAAGATTAATAGTCAGCTTTTAACGAACTTGGTTCTTCCTAACCCAAATATATTACCCTTTTAATCAACTCAACTGTTTTTAATCTAGAATTTGAAATTTTGAAGCAATACTTCCTTCACCGAAGATATCATTTGATTAGAATAATTTGGATTAGCCACTTCTGCCTGGTATTACATTTTGCTTTAAATAAAAAGTTGAAAAACTAGGTGCTCTAGTATTTATCTTTAATTAAAGGTAAGGTATTATTGCTTTGAATTTTGCTTTATGTAAATTGGTGCTTGATCAAACGTCATTGTGATTTTCAAGAAAATACTTCATTCGTGAATATTTTCGACCAAGTAAAGAAAACAACTCTCGTGCTTGATTTTTCTTTAACAAAATGTGATTTTTTTTTAATTGATTGTTTGATTTGTTTTCGAATTTAGGCAATTTGATTTAAAAAACTAGGTTGAATTGAATTGAATGTAGGGTTTAATGGCACAAAGTCCACAAAAGGACATGCTGTGCCTAACAAACGGTTTTAAGATACAACAAACGGTTTTAAGATACATCTAAGGTAAAAACATATTACATATTTTCTTTAAAGAATTTGGTTAAAACTGAAATTATTGGTTTAGAATCAGATCAATTAGGACAACATCGAATTATAAGACTTTTAAGTTAGAGCATTAAGTTTGGTTGGTTAGTTTTCAATTGTGGTTTTAATGTAAAACTACATTAAGTGGATGATAATATCCCTTAAGATAATAAAATTCGGAAGAAGTGCATCTCCAACCAAAGTAGATAGATGAGGAAGATCACGACTTGGAACAATATCTCATAAGTTGATATTTTAGATATATAACATATGTTTAATTTACTGACAGACATAACATATGCTTAGCTGTTAATAATTCCTGGCAACTTATGCTGTCTCATTAAGAAGAATTTACTAAACTTATTTGTTAGACTTCGTGTGGTAATTAAGTAATCTATAAATGAAGAATTTCTATTTCCCGCCATAGGTACGAAGAAATATATTTTAAACACAAACGCGGTACACTCAATAATATTATAATCATCTGTCCCGTGAACAATTTTGTTTAAAATATTTTTAAAAACCAATTTTTTTATGCATAAAAAGTAAGCTTACTTAAAGTAAAAGAAGATGAAGAGAGATATAGATAGTGTTACAATCGAGAGAGCAGAACCAATGATAACAATCCATGCGACAACAGTTGGTATCCAGGAATCACTAGGGTAGAGTTCCTAAAAATGCAAACCATTATTATTAAAGGAAAAACTTCATATTAGCTGCACGTAAATAAATTTAGAATACTAATTTAACTCCTTTTTATCTTTTTTTGTCGCTTTTTAAAATGAATGTTTTTATAAAGAATTGTTAAAATTTATATGCATAGATTCGTAGTTTTAAAAATAACGTATATACCAAGAATCAAAAGTTTGTTGCTCGATATATCGGTAGCATAAAACTAACACATCAAACTGAACTGAACAAACACTGCTCAAACTGAAGAAAGATTTTGAACGAGCTGATTAGATTTTTTGTTAACATCATCTGTGACGTACTGCCATTTCATTCTGCTACACTTGGTTTTCTTTAAGAACAAACGAGTTAGTACAAGTGTTATTTTTTCTAACTTGAAATGCTAGATTTGTTTTGCTAAAAAACAGCAATCTTCAATTAAAATTATTTCTTCTAAGATTATTTGGAAGAAGACAACAAATAGTATTATAATTCAAGATATTACGTTTTCCGTCGAACTAGTTATAAAAACGCGTGCAGCTGGAATACGTTTTACCTGCTTTTTGTTTTTATACAAAATCAATTTTTGAAAATTTGTTTTTGTAGTTTGTTAATAATAATTCTTAATAATTTATATGCTTTGAGCAAGGATTTAAACAATGCTTTTATTCTAAACGTAATCGGTAGGTACATTTTCACATTTTTGAAGCACCGTAGTTTCTCGGCTCTATCGATCATAAGAAGCGCAAGCTTCTTACTTTCGCCTGCATTTGTACAAAACAAAACAGTGAAACAAACTTTTGAGAGATTTCTTCCGGCAATTTTCGCCTTCGACTAATTGTTTTGTTGGGTTACAGCAGTGGTTCCTGAACTTTTTGTCCCTTGCCATGTTTTCCGGTTTTGGGTTGATATTGATTTTTTGTAAATTCACCAGCCTCAAATGTATTTTTGACAGCTGGTATAGTACTACTCACTGTGAAAGATTAAAATTTCTAACTGTAGTGTGAAACGTTTAAGAAAAGAACGCATGTTAATTTAATACATTTACTAATTAAATTCAAATTGAAATTTAGTATCTGTTATATAAAATAACTAAGCAATAAATAAATGCTTTTAGTGTGAGGGATGAACCTGATGCTTTAATAATGAATTATCAACATTTGGCATCAATTTAGTTAGGTTTAATCTCAAATCTCCTCGGTTAATGATGTCCAGTCTGTTTTTTTTCTTTTTGTTAGAAGATTGGTAACTGCACTGAAACCCCTTTCCACTAAGTTTGAAGATGAAAAAGTAATTAAAAACTTTCTCGTGATATTCCATAACACGAGATAAGTATGTTTTTCTTAAAGCCAGAATTGCAGATATCCGTTTCTAAACTGTACCTTAAGTTCCTTGTTAGTGCTTATTCCGGTCAGTTCCTCTTGACTTATGATATCCGTTTCTTCGATGTCACCATTTGGATTGATTATCCACGGTGGTGTTATCATAGTCAACACATCCTCAAACCTAGTTTCAAAATCTGAATAGAGGGCATTTAAATTTGAACGTAAGTTGAAAAGTCGTCTTCCTGGCAGTTTGTCTGTGACAAAGTGTGGAACTGGGAAAATTCACCCCGTCCAATGTTTTGCTTCATTAGCTTAATTCTAACAAGAAATGCTGATAGGATGGACTTTGTTTTAATCAAATTAAGACTGTCACCTTGTAATTGCCAAAGTTAACCATATTAAACTAAGTATACAAATCTGTTAAATAGGTTATGTCTGTTTTCCTCTTCATTAAATTTTCTTTCAAAATTTTATCTTTAGCATCCAGAAATTCTAAAATAGCCTCAAAAAGTTCAAAAAATTTTGTCAAACATAAGCCTTTTGACAGCCAGTGTACTTCAGTGTGAAGGAGTAATTTATGAAAGTCTTAGTTATTTTCTTCACACAACTGCGCAAATAACCACGTATTCAATGTGTTGCTTCGGATACCGTTTACTGTATTAATGACTAATTGAAGATATTCATGTTATCTTACACTCAAAATTTTAGCAAATAACTGTTGTCGATGTATGACACAATGTGTTGCAAACACCCCTGGTACATTCTGTTTTAAATAGCTTATAAATCCACTATAACGTCCAACCATGGCAGGTGCTCCATCTGTAGTTACTGATATTATGTTCGATAAAGGGATTGCTTTTTCCATGAAGTAATCCTTCATAACATGAAATATTGACAGTTCTTCGTAGATTTCTTGATCCATAATAAAAGGAACATATGCCAATAATAATGCTTCATTACCAGATAAAGTTGTCTCGTGCAGCTGTATAGAGAAATGGGTCGTTTGCAAATAATTAAACAAGACCAGAACTCATTTCATCAATACGTATTTCAACTGCGTTGTTGCTTAAAAGAATTCTTTTAGTGATATCAGATGCGCGTTTGTCTAAAACAGTTTTTAAAACCTCTTCAACGGCTGGCAAAATTAACTTTTCACCGATGGTATGCGGTTTTCCGGATTTTGCTTTTAGTAAAGGGATATTGTAAGACGCTCGCAAACCATCATCGTTTCTTTGTGACGTCAAAACGAACATTCTGTCCAACTTGGGTCTCTTCTGAAGTTTATCTTTGAGTGTTTGAAAGTATTTCAAATCTTTATCTGTTTGATCAGGATGACATCTTCTCAGATGATCCAGCAGCTTAGATGGTTTCACGGCGTCATTGCTTAAAACTTTGTTGCATAAAAGGAACATAGGCAATTGTTTGTCCAACAATGATGTAATGAAGCCAAGCTTCAAATAATCAACACTGCACTGTCTACATTTCTTTTTAGATTCGGACATGGCATCAGTTATCCGTGGACAAAATTAATCTATTTGACAAATTTTATCGCGTAATTTTGCATGATTTGAATATTAAACTACTAATAACTCAATCATGGCGTTGTAATTTGTCTACCTTTCCTGACTACTAGTACAAAACTGAAATTTTAATAAAAAATAGTGTACTTACTTTTCTCCGGCACTCTCAAACAAATGACACCGAGTCACTATAATATGTATGTAACTAAATACCAGTTTATATTTTTAAAAAAATTTTCTTAACACTTTCCTTTTCAAGATGATACTGGTATATCATTAAGTCAATTTTTTACAAGTTCAATTTGTATTGCGACCACAAAACGAATACCTACTTTTTACAATTCATTAGGAGTTCTATTCAACTACTTTAGGCATAGAATTTAATTTCACGGAAACTATTGCTTCACATGTTNGTGTACTTACTTTTCTCCGGCACTCTCAAACAAATGACACCGAGTCACTATAATATGTATGTAACTAAATACCAGTTTATATTTTTAAAAAAATTTTCTTAACACTTTCCTTTTTAAGATGATACTGGTATATCATTAAGTAAATTTTTTACAAGTTCAATTTGTATTGCGACCACAAAACGAATACCTACTTTTTACAGAATTTTATTAAAAATACAAATTTATTTTAATTAGTATGTAAATGGAATAAAATAGTGCTCTGTAAAACCTCTACTTCGCTACTAATATTATAATTGCGGAAATAAGTTTGCATACAAAACCGTAGTAGTGTATTGTCGGTCTGTTTATTACGTTTTCACGTAAAATCTAAGCAACAAATCTCCGTGATCTTGTGCGATTGATAAAGTTGGAGATCTATCTAGCTAAAGAGTTGACACAGGCTAGGCTGACAAACGGACAAGGCAGAATAGAAATAATTCCAGAAAGGCTTCATACATATAAGAAACAAGTTTCTCTTGATAAAAAACACCTAAAAAAGTTTATATGATCGTGTTAGTGTGCGATTCTTTAATGATGGTCAATAATGACTTTGATCCATTATTAGAAAAACTCATTAAGCGGAATTTTCATAAAAGGGGCAACGTAAAATCCAGGATATTTTAACATTATTAATAAAGGCAGTTTTTACGGACCAGCAGAAAATGACGTCAGAAGCGGGATAACGAGAAACGTAAAATCGAGGTTCCATTGTAGTATACATTATTAAATAATATATATTATTATTTTTGAAATCCGTAGTTCATAAATAGTTGACCAGTTTTCAACATTATCAAATTAAGACAGCTATTTAAAATATTTATATATCACAAAGTTATGCGTCTCGTTAGTCACGTGATAAATTTGCCTTGTTTAATTGCAACAACAATTATTTTCCTGTCCAGGATTTTACCAAAAATAATTGTTTACAAACCGCAATAACGAAATTTTAATTCATTAGGATTTCTATTCAACTACTTTGGACATAGAATTTAATTTCACGGAAACTATTGCTTCGCATGTTTTCTTCACGGTGGTCCTTACTTTTTGCTCTACAAATTCTTCACCCAGTTTGTATTTCTTTTAGAAATCGAAAAGAGGCTTACTTATTCCCTTATAAATCGAAAATTTTTCTTATGAAGGTCGAAGTTGCTACTTTTGACTGCATTAGGTATATCTATAATAATTTCTTTTATTAATCAACATAAAGGTATTATATTTTAACATAGTGTATTTCGAAACATTTTAGGAAAAGTCAAAAGGTATGAGTTTTGAAGCTCACGTGTATCTTAAAAAACAACATAATCGGAGGGGGGGGGGATATCGAAATGACGCAAACAGCGTTTCTAGTGTTAAAACTACCAAAGCAGAGATATAAATCCATATCTTTTTAAATCAATTGAATAAATTGGAAGAGACGTAATTTAATTTAGCTAACTTACCATTTTTGATGAAAAGACATAATTTCAGATAAAAGAGATGAAATTCCATGTTGTTATCGAAAGACTGATGAAGCGAAATTATTTCTTATACAAGCAACCTCTTATCAATAAATTATACTTACTTGCATACTTGGTACGCATCTAGTAAAATTAGTTATGTTGCCAATCCACATTCCATTCTGGTCGCAACTTCTGGTGGCAAACATTTCTGCAAGAAAATAAAAAGAGCACGCACTAAGTAAAGAGATAATATTAGAAAACACGAAAATTCCAAGAAGCATTACAAGAGAGGTTAAACCACCCTTTCTTGTAATTAAGAACTTATCCAAAGATAATACTAATTGAATGGGAATCTTTAATGGGGTGTCAGCCTATTTGTTTCCCTTATTTGTGTATTTACTTTTACGAAAACACGCACATATGGGAATTTATTTTCATACTTTGCTGGAATATTCTACTGGTCTTATGACATGCGATTATCGTGTATTTTCCCAATAGTAGTGTAATTTATTTAAACATAGAAATTATACCGGGACCAAATACGTTTAATTACAAATTAATCTCTTATGAGTAGGATTAGAGTATTCCAGTTCAGCAATTATCTCTAATAACGAATAGTTTTGATTCGTCATAGAAGATACCCAAACAATGTGTAGATTTCAATTGTTTATAGAAACATTTTATTTATATTTAATTAAAACTTTCTACTCAGTGGTTTATCTTCTTTAAGGAAACACGTTTTTTTTTCTTCGTTTTTCTTGCATCAGACTTCGCTTTTTAACACCGTTTTCATTAAGCTACTTAATATTTACGTTTGACACAGTTGCCGGTTCCACCTTTTCGGCCATTAAATTCAAATTTCCAAGCATTATTTTAACTTTTTTATTTTCTGTACCAAGCATAGTTTCTGACACTGTTGGATTTCGTTACTCTTATTTGTACTACAATTAGAAGTTTTTTACTTTGAATATCCAATCGTTATTGTACTTATGTAAATTACATTATAAAAAATTACGTAGTTTAAAATCATATAGCAGTTGGCAAACCGTACATCTGATATTTTTACTGATTTTTCCCTGCAAAAAAATTAACTGACGTTTTTCCACAGAATTGAAGTATTTTTGAGGCCATTCTACAATCAACTGTAGAAAGACTTAATAGTAAAAACACTTCAATTATTTTGCTGCTAAGAAATTTTTCAGTAATTTATTTTTAAAAATAAGCTGTCATCTGCAAAGTTAGTGTAGTTAATTAGAAACCATTCTTAAATCATAAATTTTAAAAAATATTAAAACATTAAATTCGTAGTTATACTACTGTAAATTTAAAGTAATTATTATTATTTTTTTTCCAATGGCAGGCACTGAATTTTAATCTTTGCCTATGAAGATGCCAGAATTGTTACTCATTTAGCGTTACCCTGTGGGCACCTGTGAACCAAAGTCACGGAGGCGAGCAACGTTACACACGCCACAAATCCGTTTATAGAGTGGGCCACATTCACACACACAACAGAGGACAAGACAAAGAGAGAGAAACATCCATGCCCAGAGCGGGATTCGAACCCGCAGCCAATGGCTTCGCAGTCAGGCGCGCTAACCGCTCGGCCACCTGGCTGGCACTTAAAGTAATTATATTTTAAGTGTTTAACAATTGTTTTTCTGATGTATTTTCATAAAAACTACAGTTTTTTTTGTATTATTGTAAAAGTGAAAGAGTCTTCCGGCAATCAAACTGGTTTCGGTGTTTTTAAACTAGCTTCCTCGTGAATAATTTAACTTTTAATAGCATTTTCGTAACTTTTCTTTGATTATATATTAATTTCTGACAAATAATTTCTTAAATTTTGATAAGGATCCTAAATATATTCATTAATTACGGTGGTAACGCACTCTCTATATTTATATAAAAAATATTTAAGACACATATTTGGTAATTATTTAATAATTTTGAAGCATCTAAAACTTTTAAGTAAGATTTTTACACAATTTAATTGTTTTAAACTCTGGTTAAAATTAAGTATTTATATATTTCTGTTTTATAGTAATTTTAAAACTAAATTTATTTTTATTAATTTTACTCCTTATTTATTTTTGTCTTAATAAATTATTTTTATACGAATTTTTCATGGAAAAAATATTGATTGATAAAATCAATAATTTTTTTTAATTCGAATTCATACGTAACTAGAAATACTTTAGAACTATAATTCGACTTACTATTTTACATTTATTATGCTCTAGTGCAAGTTAAGAAAAAACCATTATCCTCATGGAGAGAGCCTGCTTGCTGAATGGATGCCAAGTTCCAAGCGCGAATGAATATCAACATCGCCAACTGTTGAAACCAAGTTGCACGGCCTTTATTTATTAATTTTTTTGCTTATAAAAAATAGCATGAATTAAATTTCTGTCCGACTTTTATATTGTATTGAAAGCAAAATTATATAATTTGGAAGCAAAATAAAACGGAAATATATGCAGTTGTGGGTGATTACTTAAATCCTATACCGCAATGGTATTTTCTTAACTTGTAACGGAATATAGTTTGAGTTTCAAGCAACTTCATATCAAAAGAGTTTGAAAGTGGATATTTAATCCCATTTTAGCTTCGTTGATAAATATCTCCTTCACGTATGTTTTCAAAATTTGTTTTTAATATAGATTATTTGATGTAAAATACCTCTTTAATTGTTTAAAAATAACCCTTTTTAAATTAAACCTATATTATTGCATTAAATTAACACAGTTGAATGAGCATAGGATATAAAAAATTTCTTGTTTTGAAAAATCCAGAAGTTTATACAAATGACGGGAATTTAATTCCTTAAATCTATATAACAAAACAAGGGTAACGTGTAGGAAAAAAAAGTATATAAATTATAATAAATGTAAAGGCTTTGCTTACCTCTCCAGGGCTATAACAGAAAGTAAAAAAAGAGGGTAATGATAAAATTGAGTTATGAATGTTTCAATTCTTAGTGCACATTAGCATCCAAATAGAGTCTCGGTGCTGCCATCTAGTGTGGCAGAAACTAGACGTCCAAATGAACATGGCCAACGGTATCTCACCCATTGTGGTGATCCTGAAAGAGTGGATACCACCTCTGGAGAACGCACTAGGTCTGCTCATCGGCAAGACCGATTGTGCAGCTCATTGGTTGATTGATTGATTGAATGTAGAAGTTTTATGGCACAAGATCCAAAGGAGGATATGCTGCGCCAAACAATTTGTTGAGTTAGATCTAATGGTAAATTGCACACAATAGTTTCATTGTCATAAAATAAAAAAATAAAAAAAAACGAATAAAATTGTTTATCTCAAGACACGTATTTTTAAAAGTTCATAAAATAAATAAAAGCGTAATTCTATAAAATACACA